AATAGAGTGTGTAATTATATAAAATATATGTATCATTGTCTTAATTTAAATACAATAAAAACACCAATTTAATAAAAAGGAGACAGATAAATAGAAATAGAAGGAGAATATTTAGTTGTTCCTGTCTCAACCTAAACAATGGCAACTAAAAAAGAATATAGAATGTAATTGCTTCTATTTCATATTAAAATTACATCGTTTTTTGTACTAATTTTTTGGTACAATTATTTATCGTTTCAACATTTCCAAGGGTTGTGTTAGCTTTTTGTTTCTTATTTTAATCATAGTTAAAGCTAACAGTTATATCAAGAAATTTACTCGAATAAATTAATTAAGTCTGCGAGAACTTGGTTTAAACTTAAAAAATCTTGCTCAATATTTAAGATAGCTGTTTTACTTAAAGAATATTTTAAAAATAAATTAATGACACACTCCCATTGAAAAATTAAAAATCTACAAAAATAATAATAATAATAATAATAAGACCACATGAAAATAGTCATTTATGTTCCCTTATTTTCTCTCATTTATATACACTACACTCACCTTTCTTCTCTCATATCTCATCTTCCCCACTCACACACACTCCGTTTCCTATCCCTTCATAAGTCCTCCACTAATGTTGAGCTATATATAGAGTATCAAGTCAGAGACCAACTTTGGTCTCTAACTAACTCTTTAACATTTTTCTGTTTCACAAGTGTCCGCTACCCATTTCTGTTGAAATTTCAACTCAAAATCCTAGTTGTCACTTTCTCGTGACAAAACTAACATTAATAGTCCACCCATCGATCTTTAATATTTTTTTCATATTTAATCGTAAATTTAATACACACTCCTTTTTTCAGTTGTGTGTTATAGTTTATCCTAATACATTAATAAAACATATGTTTAATAAATCCTCAACATAGTTATCATTAATACTTAAATTTCATATTTAGACCTTCATAGAGAATCACAACTAATTCATTTGGACATAGTACTAGAACAATGAAATGAGTATTAATTAAATGGGGTTAGTGTAATGTAGGTAATCCTTTTAAATTTGTTTAAAGGATCTGTTTAAAAGTTTATTTTCTAATTGATGTTTTTAAAAACCAATTGTTAGATTAAAAATTCTATTTATGTAAATTATGTATATTAATTTTCATATTAATCAAACATTAATAATCCTTTAATCAAACAAACTTCATTTACTAACATATATTTAATTGTATTAAATTTTGTATAATCAACAAAGAAGTAATTAGGCCTACTAAATCAATATGAATTGATGTACATGATTTTTATAAATAGAACTTTTAATTTAACTGCTACATTTTGAAAAGAAAATTATTAGGATACACTTTTTAACATTTATTATGATTCAATTATTAAAATATAATACAAGTATAGCCAAATCAATTGGTTTTTGCATCTTATATATATAGATGCTTCCATAAGTTTGTTTGTCTTCAATTTCAAATAAAATAATAATAATTTTTAATAAATATATTATGTAATATATTAAATCAAAATAAATATCAATCGATATTTAAAAAGATAATAATTGGTACACACTCGATTCAACACATTGTACAACACATTGTACAACACATTCATTAAAAAATTACTATTTTTATATGAAATTAAAGGCAAATAAGTTTAAAAATACAATCATGCACACAAGATGCAAGAATCGATTAAATTGACTTCATTTGTATTATATTTTTAAGATTAAACCAAAAGTGTGACAAAACATATATTGAATCAAATGTGTACTAATAATTTTTTTATTTAAAAATATTAATTAAAAACTAAAATTTTAAATAAGTTGTCAAAAAAATTATTAGGATGAACAAAATAAACACTTTTTCCTAATTAAATTATGAACCAATTCCAATTTGAATTTACTTATATGTACCATCATTTCTGCGGCAATTACTTAAGTAGGGAAACATTTATTTTTTCCTTGGAAAGAGAGGACAGCTGTCTGGCTAACGACTTGAAATAAATTACAAAGACAAAAGAGACACGCTTCTCTTCTCTACTCTTCTTATTTCTTAAGTACATATTGACTAATGAGGATTTGCCATGTAATCTTGTAGCCAATCAGATTCATAGTCAATGAATGATCCCGGGTACTCTTGTGGCATGTTATCGGAAAAGAAGATGCCGACGGAGTGGTTATCGGAATCCGGTGAGGATGAATGCCCTAACTGCTGATCACAACAGTTGTAACCATTGCTATGATCTCCCCCACTATCATTATTATTAGTACAAGGAGAATGCTGCTCACATGAGCCTTCAAATTCTATATTGAGAAACTCCAAAAAGAATTTCTCATCCATCTCGAAGTCCTTCACGAATGTCGAAGGCTCGCATTCCTTGGAAAAAAGTTCCGATGTTTGTAGCGTCTCCACGGCATTGTCATGGTTCCTTGAGTGATCACCTTCAATTGCTGCTGCTGATCTTACAGGGACCATCAATGGGAAAGAAGTTTTTAACCTTCTTGGTTTGGTCCGGATGGCAAATGAATTTTTTGTGCTTGCAGCCTCAGTTACCATGTTACAGATTTTCCGGTGTTGATTTACTTGTTTGCGGTCAGAAGTTTGGCCATTGCCGACTTGTAGTTTTTTGAAGATGGTGGTGTTCCAGTAGTTCTTGATTTCATTGTCCGTTCGGCCTGGAAGCCGTCCAGCTATTAGAGACCATCTGCAGTGCAACAATAACAATACATTCATTACTATCAGTAATTCACTATCAATTATTTTCCGAAGTACAATTACAAATGAATAAGAACTGTTTAATCTAAAAGTTTAAACTATCAAGCATTTAGACCTGTTTCCAAGAAGCTTGTGAAGTCGGATAATGAGTTCTTCTTCATCATGAGTAATGTTTCCTCTCTTAATATCTGGCCTTAGATAATTTATCCACCTCAACCTGCAACTCTTCCCACACCTTTTAAGACCTGCAAGAACCATAGATAGTTTTATAAATTTATGATCTATAGGTACAACTGCATAGTAATTTTCAAATGATCAAAAAACAACAGTTAGATATATACCTGCTCTTTGGGGAAGGCTCCTCCAATTTCCAGCTCCATGGAGTTGAATGTAATCTGTGAGAATTTTGTCTTCCAAGGCTGTCCATGCTCCTCTGTTCAAGCCTTCCTTTGAACAGCAAGGTTGTCGACCCATTCCTGCAGCTAACAGCAAGCTAGGAGTTGGGGCACTAAGACAGGACTCTAAGGTACATTATATAATATCTCTCGATCCTTCTATCTAGCTTGTGTTGGCATCTATAATTAATGCAACCGGAGAAATGGGATGAAAGAGAAAATAAATTACTGGGTATTTATCAACGTGTGCAGATATAAGAAGCAATGTATTAAAAATTATGAGACATATGCAGCTGAGTGCTTTGACCTTGCACATGCGGCCAATGGAACACCTCAACTTTTATTCGGTTCTCTAATTTTAAGAAAAATTCAAGATTAACTATCCCATTTTCTAGGATCAATATTGTTCGGCTCGGTTGGATTTGTGACGTAGGAGATTTGTTTTTGTTATGTATTTGTAGAGATGAGAACTTATGATAAGGTTTTTTTTTTTTTAATTAAAGAGTTAGCTATTTGGACAATACAAAAATGTGAACCTCTGACCTTACTCTTAAATAAAAGTTTTTTAAATTAATAGATATCTATTCGACTAAACACTTATTAGTAAATATGACATGGTAACAAAGTATCACTAACAATCTTAAAAAATAAATTTTCTTTGGCTAATAAAAGAAAAAGCCTTCATTTCTCCTTCTGTCCTAAAACAATAGTCGGTTCTTCACCTTTTCATATTTATCTATGTTATTCTTTTAAAAAATAAAAGATAAATATAGATTTTTCTTGATAAGATGAATCATTAATATAAATGGATAATAGTAATATTAAAATAAAAAAATTATTTTTATACATTGAAAAATAAAAAAAAATTAATTCGAGTTAAATTTAAAATAAAAAAATAATTGTATAGAATGAGAAGGTTTGAAGTATATATAATACCATGTCACTGTAAAACAAGTTAATAACAATTTAACATATTATAAAAAATAAAAAAAAATAGGGTTTCAACTAGTACCCTTGTGGCTCCATTCTTTATTGTTATGATGCTTTCTACTCATGGTCATAACTAGTCTATGAGGATATCTTTTGTGAATTCCAGAATGACTTTCTGATATGGGTTTGTGACTTGATATGATTATGTTGTTTGGATTGGGCTACTCCGGTGCACTCCTATTAATTAATTTATTTGTATTTTGATTGAAGAAAAAAAAGGGTTGTGACTTGTGAACATATACAAAATCATCAGGAGGGGTTGCCCAGGTGATTGGAAATGATACTCATTCAACTATTACTTTTACGAATTAAAATTTTAAAGGATTCACTATACGGTACCATGTCAGTCACAGACCTATTATACAATATGACCTCTTTCCATTATTATAAGTTGGAGCAATATGCCTTTGAATTCCCGAACAATTTTTTTTATTACCGATTAAAAATATTAATATACCTTTGCCATATGGAACCGAGTTTATAATAAAAATTTCTTATTTTGTAATTCAAATAACACAACATTGTATCAAAATATAAAATAAAAATTATTAAAAAAACAAAACCTTTAAATTAATATTATAAAATTTAATATAAATTAATACAATTTAAATTTTTTCTTTCTTTTTTTATAATAATCCACTCAAGTTTTTATTTTTCTGAAAGATTTATGTGTTCCAAAATGCAGATGATAAGAAGTACGGAATAGCTAGGCTACAAATTGATAATGATTGTAATGAATTTTGTTAAAATATAGAACAAAGAGATCAATAAAGATTAAAGATATGCGAAAAAAAAAAGGAGAGAAAATGTCATATGGCACCCTAAACCCAAAAAAGAGGTGCAAAGATATATACTAGTACCATTTATTCCGTGCCCTAAAACCTGCAAAAGACAATTAACTTTACATGCTTTTTTTAATTTTTTATTAAATAATAAATTACATGATAAAAGATAATTTTTTATTTTAATTTTTTCATTTATTTTTAAGTTTAAATTCAAATTTTTTAACTTAAAGTTTAAACTTTTTAATCACTTAAGACACTTTTTTTTAAGGTAGCTTTATATGCTAATTCTTTTTCCATTCACAAATTCACATATAATTTTATAAAAATTTATTTAATATGTGTTTGTAGAGTATAGATTAAAAGTATAATTAATATTTTTTAATATTAATTAATATACAAAATAACAAAAATTGACATTAATTTTATCACTAATATTACAATATTGTTTTAATTAGACGATTTATTACATAAATGTTAAGTTTTATTTTTTTTAATAATAATTAATGTTAAAAAGGTATTCTTAACTTATATACTTATGATACAAATTAAGAAAACCCTTTTATCAAACTTTGGAAATGATAAGAGCTATATTGAAAATACCTAAGAAGTTTGAGGGTAGAAGTTTTAGACCTTCTTTGGACAGATTATAAATAAACTTGCTTTCTGTTTTTACAGTACGTGGAATTCAAACAACTTTAAATTAGAGTTGAAAAACATTGTAATGGATGCCTGTATTTCTATAATGAGTGGTGCTGTTAAGATAATCTTTTTATTTTATTTTTTTATATAATTTTCATATGTTATTAAATAAGTGAATGTATTTAATATCTTAAGTCTTATATGAATTAAAAGAATCAATTATTTTAATGACACATCAAATTATATAAGATAAAATAAAATAAAATAAAAATATTTTACAAACATCATTTTCCTTCTATAATAACTGGCTATAATGATGCGGAAGACACGGATCCAGTTACATTTTTCTCTACACATGTCAATGTCATTGTTATATATATCTAGAATTTCTTATTCTTTTCCCACCTTTTTTGCTGTCATTCTAAGTTATCTAACTTTCAAAATCATGTGCCCTATTGAAAGTTCGTTAAAAATTTAACAAGGATTTAATTTAAAATTATGGAACAACATAAAAAATAAAAATAAAAATAAAAACCTAGAACGCTAACTTTAAGGCATATCTATATATATAATACTGATCCAAGAAAAAATTTTCTAAACCACATATGCGTATAAAACCCGTGTTTGTAACCTCGATTTTTGTTAAAAATTAAGATATTTAAGTATGATAATTGACTTAATTCTCATACAAAATATATCATATGAGATTCAAGGGCACCAATGTGTAAAGAAGAAAGACTAAAAACACAAGAAATACTAATTTCTACATCGAACTACTCCCAATATTGACGATTAGTTTTTTTTTTTTAGCCTAACAAATGTCGCCAACATAGCAAAACACAGAAAATAAATTTCAGCAACGTAATGCATAAGTGACTGAGAATTGTAATATTTTGTCTTGGCAACCTCATCAAGATCTCCTTGTTTTCAGTAGTCTTCTGGGTAGGCTAAACGTGGAATTCTGCAGGCATCTCATCAATCAGCTAAACTAAGGTTTGATGTTGAAATAAGTATTTTTTTATTCTAATGCTTTTAACTCACAAATTAAGGGTATATTAATTATAATTTTTTATCAATGATCTTTTTAACTTGTATCATTAGGACACAGGTTAAAAAAAAATTAATGTATTTTTATTATTATTAAATTATATAAAAAAATAAAATTTAACTTTAATTTTAACAACTAACCAATTAAATTAAGACATTTAACATTAATGTTAAATTTAATATTAATTTTTTTATTTTTTCACATATATTAGTGGCTAAAAAATGTATTAATTACACTTTTAACATGTACTTGAAAGATACACATTAGGAAAAATCTTTTTATTAATTATTATAAAAAAATAAAAATTAATTTTAATTTTATAAACTGTTTAATTAAAAATGTACATATATCACTATTGTTGAAAATAATTTAATTTTTATATTTTTTATCAAACAAATAAAAAATACAGGTAATATATTTTCAACTTATGCCCCAAACACACATATTAAATGAACCCTTGAAATAATGATCCCCATAACAGGGTTCCATGTGAAAATTTAACTTAATAAATAGGTTACATGTGATTCTCCACATTAATTAATTAAGCAAACTGGAGTTCGATTAGTGGTAAATATATGTGATTTTTTAATGCGGCATCACTCCCGTATTAATTGATGTGCCATATTATTGGCGGATTTAGGTCTCCACCACACTTAAATTATTTTTTTCTACAAAATTAAGTCTTCAACACCGAGTAGGGGTGCTAGAGTGCGAATCTCTTTAGTCACGTGAGTGAAGATTCATTCAAACCTACTCTTGAATATATAATAATTATTTTTGCTTTTCCAAAAAAAAAAAAAGATTCATTCAAACCATCTTGTGTGATATCAGCCTAGCCAATATGGTATCCGATCGATCGAATATGCTTAACGTAGACGTTAACTTTTGATTTGGAGATTGAATAATGTTATAGACTTAATTTGAATTGTCCATGGCCAGATTGCAGTTTTCCAAGAAACAAATTAAATTGCATAATGTAAATTTTAATTTTTAGCTTAGATCATTGCTGATGATTGTACAGAACATAGTATTTGTTTGTTGTTTGTTGGTGGGGGACTGGGAAGAGGAAGGTTAAGGACGTCATGGGGTTAATTAGTTTGCTTTGTGGTATTATTTGTGGTTGTGGAGAAATCATGTACTGAAATAATGGATATGTGTAAGATTCTTACTACTATTCTGATTAAAAACCATTCATTTTATTTTGTATTTAAATATTTATTATTTCATTTATTAAAATCTAATATCAAAAGTGGGCTGTTTGATCTGCCATCCAAGATCATGCATGGATGTTCTATATGGGAGTTGAATGTTGATTGGAGAAACAAATGACAATATTTGAATGTATACATAATTTGAATGTTTCTTAATAACTTCTATAGTATATGCTTAATTTTGCGATCATAAAACTATTCGTGCTTGCATTTGCAAGCATGGCATTTTGTTTTTTTTTTTTTTTCTTTGTATTTTTTTCTCTAATAGCCATGATATCTCTTGGTTAACTTGTGCAAACACTCCTTGGCTACTTTGTTCTCCGGATATATGCAAAATTTTAAATATATATGTAATGTGTCCATATTATTGTATTTAAACTTAAGTATATATTAAGTATATATTTTGTTATGTGTTTAAGTTGTCCGTATGTAATTT